ATCTTTAGGCTATTCCTAATTGCAAAAATCTAAGCCCAGTTCTCCTAAAGAATTAAAGAAAACATAGTCCAAAATGTGATTATGCGAATAACCTTCTTTTTTACGTTAATTTGAAAATGGTTCAAACCTTTCTAAAACGAACTCAGCAAGATATTTCTATGCAATGTTTTAAATATAAACATTAATTTTACAGGAGTTTATCAAAGTTTTTGATTTAGTCCTAAGTTCTTTTGATAAACAGGCCCCTGGATGCATCCCTTTTAATGTTGTAAAGCGGGAGCATAAAAACAAGAGTGACCCTGATACACGTGTGTAGACAACAAACAAACAGTACGTGTAACATGCATTCTTTAATTTTGTTTAATTCAACTTCCATCCCGAGAAGGTAGTTCTGCTCTGTAGAATGCTTAGAAAGTTCTTGCGCGTCTGTGCTCCTGTGCGCACATAAATGTGGTCCCCTTTGTTGATGTCTGCCACAACAATACCTGTGGCAAAATCATAAACTGTTGAACTACCCGAGTCCGCGTAACGTGTGCCTAGGACGTCAGTATTTCTCATGAGCCACCCCATCACCAGGGTCGGACATGATTTCCCAGGTAAAAACGTAAGTTCCTGATACAGGTTTTATGAAAAGTCCGTCATACGCTTGATACCCGTTACCTTTGTTCAGCAGTGCTACATCAAATTGTATGATATGGTGCTCAGCGAGGGGACCTGATGTGCTTTTCGAGAGGTAAGCGTGGAAAGCGATAACACCCACTGGAGCTGTCGTTGGTGGTACTGTAAATACAGATAATCTCTGTGGGTACATCTGATTTTATACACTCCATTTAACAGGTTTGTGTAAGAACGTATTTCTCAATCCTTTTCAATCTGAAAACATAGCTAAGCAATCTTATAATGATAAAACAATGAAACTTTGCGACGAAAAATCGATGTACTAAGTAATTTATGAATTATAACCTATTCTTTTTCTGCTCCAGTCGCTTTCTTTTGTTTGTACTTGTCGAATTTTTGTGTTTGCCACATTTATGGACACTGAATCAACCGTTTCAAGAATGATGTCTTCCTCAGAACTTTTCAAACGAGTGTCAACCATGATACTGTCCCGGCCAGACGTCTGCAAGTCTTCTTTTCCAGCTTGGAAAGAATTTCCCAGATTTCGAAGTCTGATTTTCAGTTCTGCATTTTCTTCATTTAGTCTGAAGACCAGGTTCTTTAAGGTCGATAGCTCCATCTGTAAATATTCTACTTTTTCTTCTATGCCCCCTCGACCATTGCTGTCTGAATTCGTTGGCACACACTGAAAAGGCTTCAAAACACTTATGAAAACACATAGAAAAATGAACGACATATTGCCGACAAACAGTTGACATACGAATATAAGATAAGGCCTAGGGGTCGTCCTGTAAGATATGAAACGTCAAAGTTCTTTTCATTGTGTTCCTCAAAATGATACACTTTTTAGGTCACCTGAGTCACTCAGGTGACCTATTGCTATATCCGTTTTTGTCCGTCGTCGTGCGTCGTCCGTCGTCTGTCGTGCGACGTGCGTTAACATTTAAACATTTTCAGCTTCTTCTCTGAAATCGCTCAACCAATTTCAGCCAATTTTGGCATATAGCATCTATGGGTGAAGGGGGACAAAAATTGTGAATTTCATGGTCCCTGCCCCCCTGGGGCCTGAGGGGTGGGGCTAAAACCACCAAAATTAATGCAATCTTTAAAAATCTTCTTCTTTACTCCTGGACATCAAGCAGTCAAACTGTTGACATGATTGTAATAAGCAATGAGCCCTCTACCAAAATTGTGAAATTCATGGCCCCAGGGTCAGGGGTTCTGGTGCTAGGGCGGGGCTATATAGATCATATAGTGAAAGTGCATTATTTCTTTGAAAATCTTCTTCTCTACCCCTGGGTATTATTGAACAAAATTGAATAATATTTATGATAAGCAAGAGTGACTTTACCAAAATTGTGAAATTCATGGCCCCAGGGTCAGGGGTTCTGGTGCTAGGGCGGGGCTATATAAATCATATAGTGAAAGTGCATTATTTCTTTGAAAATCTTCTTCTCTACTCCTGGGTATTATTGAAACAAATTGAATACATAGTTATGATAAGAAAGAGTGACTCTACCAAAATTGTGAAATTCATGGCCCCAGGGTCAGGGGTTCTGGTGCTAGGGCGGGGCTATATAGGTCATATAGTGAAAGTGCATTATTTCTATGAAAATCTTCTCTACTCCTGGGTATCATTTAAACAAATTGAATACATAGTTATGATCAGCAAGAGTGACTCTACCAAAATTGTGAAATTCATGGCCCCAGGGGCAGGGGTTCTGGTGTTAGGGCGGGGCTATATAAATCATATAGTGAAAGTGCATTATTTCTTTGAAAATCTTCTTCTCTACTCCTGGGTATTATTGAAACAAATTGAATACATAGTTATGATAAGCAAGGGTGACTCTACCAAATTTGTGAAATTCATGGCCCCAGGGTCAAGAGTTCTGGTGCTAGGGCTGGGCTATATAAATCATATAGTGAAAATGCATTAATGCTTTAAAAATCTTCTCTACTCCTGGGTATTATTTAAACAAATTAAATACATAGTTATGATAAGCAAGGATGCCTCTTCCAAAATTGTGAATTTCATGGACCCTGGATCAGGGGTTCTGGTGTTAGGATGGGGCTCTATTTGTTATATAGTGAAAATGCATTAATGCTTTAAAAATCTTCTCTACTCCTGGGTATTATTTAAACAAATTAAGTACATTGTTATGATAAGCAAGGATGCTTCTTCCAAAATTATGAAATTCATGGCCCCAGGTACAGGGGTTCTGGTGCTAGGGCGGGGCCATATATATCCTATAGTGAAGGTGAATTATTTCTTTAAAAATCTTCTTCTCTGCGCCTGGGTATTATTTAAACAAACTATTAGAACATTGTTATGATACGCAAGTATGCCCCTTCCAAAATTGTGAATTTCATGGCCCCAGGGTCAAGGGTTCTGGTGAAAAGGGGGGGGGGGGGCTCTATTGATTATATAGTGAAAAAGCAAAATTTCTCTGAAAATATTCTTTTCTGCTTCTGGTTAAAAAGCAAAGAAGCTAAGTGTATAGTTATGATGAGCATGATTACTTCTTCCAGAGTAGTGAATTGCATGACCCCTGGGTCAGATGTGCTGGTGTAAGGGTGGGGCTCTTGATAATGTAGTGAAAACGCATTAATTCTGTTAAATAATCCTGTCTGCTCCTTAGTGTTAATCAGATAAACAAAGTGATTACTTACATGTATGATGAATAAACTTCTGGTCCCAGGGTGAGAGACTCTGGTGTTTCTCGGTGGGGATGGGAGGTGGGGGGGGGGGGGGGCTGGGGGGCTCTATTGATAATCTAGTGAATCTGTAGTAAAAACTGCATTATTTCTTTGAAAATCTTCTCTGCACCTGGGCATATCAGAGGCAAAAAGAGTAAAAGTTTTAATAAATATTTTTGAACATCTGGGCCATTTTGTCAAGTGTTCTGGTCCTGGCCAGGGCTCTATTAATTTGTATTCTACTGAGGGGAGTTATTCCCCTTTGCCATTTACTTTTGATAATTAGTCACTGTAAATAATGTACTTGAAAAGTTAATAGAATAAGAGAATTTTGCAAGATTTTTTATTGTATAGTACAAAAAGTACTTTCATAGTTTTAATGATCAGGTAGACTTGTAAGTAATAGATAAATAAAATGAGACAAAAATAACTTGTCTTATTCAATGTTCATCAAAGACCAAGAGAGTCCAATGTAAGAGATTTCAACAAAGGATTAAAATAGTACAGAAGCATTGATAGTTTGTTAATATACTGTATGGTGATAGTGATAAATGGGGAACAGATTAGAACCTAATTTATGAACTGTTAATGAACACTAGACTAATTATTTTGTTGAACCTGATCACCCTATTTTTCTTGCTTTTGGGCAACAAAGCTTCACTTTTCAGTTCATTTTATACTCTATGGATTCTCTAAATTGTTGTATTATACTCAGGTGACTGTTAAGGCCCTTGGGCCTCTTGTTTTTATCTTATAGTGGGATTTTCACTTAGTTTATGACATGAATTACAATGTGGAAAGCGCACTCCTGCTATCAAAGCCTTTCTATGAAATAGACTGAAGGACCATCTTCGTTAAAAATTCATTATCTAATGTTAATCATGAAGCTAACCTAGAAATTGCTTTCAGTAACAAAGTTTCGTAGATAAATGTTCAGCATTCAGTTTACTCATAAACACAATATCCTCCGATAAACCAATTCACTCATCGCATGCACTATTCTCGTTCTGAACAGTTGGTCGAAGCTATAATATATTAATTGTTGTGCCTTTTTTTAATACTAAATTTGACTACGGAATGTTCCGTAGTCCTGATAAATACATGGGGCGCACGCCGGGTGTGACCGGTCAACAGGGAATTCTTACTCCTTCTACACACCTGATCTCACCTCCAAAATTTCCGGGGGTTCGTGTTTTATCTCGCCTTGGAAGGGCGCGGTTTGCCCCTTAATTTGAACAATTTTGAATCCCCTTTATCGAAAGATGCTTTGTATCAACTTTGTTTTAAAGTGGCCTTGTGGTTCTTCAGAAGTCGAAAATATGAAAATGTTCAGATGGAAGGACAGACTGAAAGAAGACGGGTGATCAGAAAAGCTCACTTGAGGTAATCAGATAATTATTCCTCATATTTACATTTTAACCTGATTTTTATATTCTTATTGTTTTGTAAAATATACATGTGTATCATAAAATTAACTTTGTTTTTATTTAATAATTAGAAACCAAAGTCTGCAAGCCTGACCCAGTGACTACTAAGCCACACACAGCGATAGGGCAGTTCTGTCACATGACATGCAGAAGTCTTTATAACGTTATAAAGCTATTTCTTTATTTGTAGTTTTATCTCAGAGAAAGACGTTTGAATATGTATATATTATTGAAATTGAATAAAAACTGATAACAGTATTTAAATATTGTCCATTTATTGCAATTCTGTTTCACAGACAAAGAAATAAGATTCCCATTCACTCTGTATATGTTGATAACATACAAAAAATAATCACAGTTATAAGACAACCGCAATACTGTTGTAAATAAAAAATAAAATGGATGGACTCGCAACAAAAATACAACAAGCTGACAAATATTTTTCAATTACAATGTAAGAGAAAAGTTCTTACAGTATCTTGTAACAGAAATATTGTTAAATTACAATGCATCAGAAATTATTCTTACATTGTAATGAAAAAAAAAATACTTTAACAATAAACATGGTACAGCTTAATGAAAAATCATCTTAATGTATGATAAATTGATACCTAGGAATCAAAGAACAATTATAGTACAGTTAGACATTAACATCTGGAAGGTTGCTATTTTAAATACCAAGGATATGTGGAAATACCTTGACCTAATTCTGAATTCAACATTGACTTCCTGGCCTGTCCTTGTGAAATATCTAGACTTGTCTATTTATTGATGGGATATCTGACCAGTCCTTGTGAAATACCTAGGCTTGTCTATTTATAGATGGGATATCTGACCAGTCCTCGTGAAATACCTAGGCTTGTCTATTTATAGATGGGATATCTGACCAGTCCTCGTGAAATACCTAGGCTTGTCTATTTATTGATGGGATATCTGACCAGTCCTTGTGAAATACCTAGACTTGTCTATTTATTGATGGGATATCTGTGTTTCAAATGCACTACCTTACAATACAAGCAGTTTTATTAACTAAGAATTTTTTTTTTCTAATGTTGTAAGGTGTTAGAATGGATTTGTTGATCATACTAAAAATGTCCATTTATGATGATTAGCTTCAAACCTCTTGCTGTATGCCTTTTACAAAAGTTAATTTTTTATTTTATTATTTTGAGTAGTTAATAATAAAAGATTATAAATACTGCAGATCTATTTACAATTATTTTCACAATTTAAAATTTCAACAACAAAAAATTTTGTGTTAAATTTGCTATATTATGGTATAGCAGGTTTCTTTAGCTGGTGTACAATTTGGCGTTTTGCTTGCTCGAAGGTACGCCAATATTTTGGTGGAACTTTTTTTGGGAGACACTCAGTTCCTTGACATGTAAAGTAGAGGAGGTTCATCGTCTGGATGCGTTTTCAGTATGTTTAAATACGCTTTAATGCTGACTTAGGCAAGATTTTGAGTTAAAAACCAACACCAGATGAGAGACATTGTTTGACAACAGACTGAACAAAGTTATTTTTCTTGTATTCAGTACTTATACGCAAGGGTGTAAATTAAGGGATTAAAATTTTAGCGGGCTACTTCAAAACCGCTAAAATAAGCCAAGGTTAGCACCCCGCTAAAAATTCCCATTATACGGTATTATATTACTGTTCATTTGTAAACTGAGTCAAGAGAATTCACTGTTCTTTCCATTACTAATACAATATGTTTTACAATAAAACAAATTCTTTGCCTTATAATATTCTTAGACATTAGTAATATTCTGTTACGTTAATACAGATTTCTTGCTCTACAATATGTTGTTACAAATACTGGTGGATTAACATAATTAACTTTTACCAAATTGCTTGATAAAATTTCAATGGATCCTCTATGGCTTCCACAAGATTACCTAGCTGCAGAACTGTAGCTCTCTGGTTGAGAAAATTTGGACAGATAAACTCAACCACAGAGCTACAGTTCTGCAGCTAAAGATTACCTACATATGAACATTACCCATATTTGTTTGTACACAGGGCCATGTACTATAAGGTATACCAATTGTACAAATCTACTTAAAAAGTCGTTCAAACAAATAATTATATATATACAGGAATAAATACATCAAATATACAGTATAACTTACAAACATATATTGCACATCATCAAGCTTAATGATAGTCAAACATTCAGCATATATAATTAATATATAAAAAAAACACAACTGATACAAAACAATTACTTTAGTAAGATAAGACTGATACAAAATAATTAGATAAGACAGTTTCTGTGTATATAAAAAGCCAGCATAAACAACATGTTGAAAAAGTAAATGGTGTTAAACTTTATGGTCCCATATACACATTTAGGACTTTCAAATTATTCACATTAATTTAGAAATGATTAGCAGCAAAATTATGGTTTATGGGGGTTTTTTTGTAGATCACTGACAAAAAGCTGTGATGTGTAAAATAATCACGATTTAATACCTAATGCTAGGGGTAAATTGGACAGTATAAAAATGTGCACACAGATAGATTGGCACATTTTAATTTACAAAATCCAGTCATAAAAACTATATAAAAACTTCTAACTATTTAATAGCAGTAAATATGTATAAATTAAAAATTACAAATAGTTCGGGCAAGGGGGTGTGATGCTTTTTGTACGTTATCTTGGCTCAAATTAAAATAAAAAGTAAAGGTAGTACTTAAAAAAATAACACTGATATAAGAAAAATGCCCCAAGATTAGGATAATATTGCACAGAGATTTGTTATTCATGCTCAATTAACAAACATCCAAGAGAAAACATGGGAAAAGCTAAAAAAAAAAAAGCAATGCTGACTAAAGAAAGATAACTCTTGATTAGCTCCCAAGCAGCATTCATAAAACATTCATTTATCAATAAAAATCAATAAACAGATCTCTTTGAAAATCATGTAAACAAAAATTCTTTAATAAAATTAAAAAAAAAAAAAATCAATATTATTCAAATCTGCATATGGAGACAATTTCTCAACATAAAAGTTGGGCATCATTGTTTTTGATTTTTGTAACAGTTTAAAATAAAAGTAAAATCTATCAAATTCTTCAAGTTACATGTATATCAGTTATACATGTTTTATATATCATACAGACATAAAACCTTTGCTATTCTGTATTTATAATATTGTGTATTCTCTCCAAATAAAAATGAACAAAATCTTATTTCTTGATGAAGTAAAATATGGTGTTACATTACATGTAACTACATTAATTTTGTTATTTAGGCACTCAGGCCCATAGGAATGGGGGCAGGGCACAAGGGTGACCTCACTCCAATTATTTTGCAAGTATTTATTATTTAAAACAAAACCATTTCAGAGTTGTGCCCCTTCAATAATTTTCCCAAGTTGAGCCCGAAAAAATAATTATAACTAATTTTTGATAACCTATTTTTTGCTTGTCAAGAATTTCTTTAAGTTGCCCCCACCCCTGCCCCTTTAATTGATATTGCTTCCTAAAGACCAAGGATTACACCATATCATTCTATAAGAGACAGTTTGTGTCATCATGGATCATCTTTGCAGCTTTTTCTACCTCAAAGCAAAAAAGATTCAAAAGCATATGCTATTACCATTTTCCATTGCAGCACTGGCCATGACGGGAAAGATTAAGAATTTAACTATAAAAAATATTTTTATAATACTTTCCTAACAGGTTTTTACTGATGAACTTGCATGTAGCATATAGCATTAAATTTGCTTATTATAATAAGTTGACATATATCAGTAAAACATGTTTTTCATTACATGACCTTGACATGTGTCCTGACTGACTGACCTAAGTCAGTAAGACATATGTGTCCTGACACACTCAGAAAGACTGACAGCACTAGACTTTAACAGAAACTTCATTCTGTAGAACTCGGTGATGGAATACTTCTTTTCCTCAGCTGGCGACTCTCGGGCGAATCTATGGACCATCGCTGCACGTTCTTTCTCCAGCCACATGGACAGCTTTGGCTCGAGACTGCTGGTCCTCTCCACACCGCCTTGCCATGATGTCTCGCTTGGTCCCCAAAGAAGAAACTCCACATAACTCCGAATTAAAGGCAGGATCTCGATCTTTCGACACTGTAACATTTTTTGCACTTTCAGAACTCCTCCCACAAACTTCCCAAACTCATACTCACTCCTACTTGACATGTTTTCGGCGAGATATTTATCCAGAAAACAGAACACAGAATCAATGTGGGAACCATCAAGTGACCTCTGATGGGGAAGGAATGCCACAATGTTACCGTGGGAACAGTTGCTACTGGTAATAATAAACACATCCCGAAAATTAGCATCTCCGAGACTGAATCCTTGATCAAGACAATGAGAGATGGCACTGAGAATCTGCAGCATAAAGAATAGAACATGCTCCATCATGTCCTCCACTGTCCACATCACCTGACTGTTACCATGGCGAATAGAGGTCATGTGACTGGAGAGACTGTCAGAAATGTCAAACTGTCCAACAGCCACAAAACACTTGGCAGAATTTGATTGGTTGGTGTGGAGATTAAGAAGGAGCTGGTTGGTTTTGATGAAATCTTCCGTGAGATAAGAGTACGGGATGTGATCACAGAAAATGATGGTCGGCTTCAGCAGTGTGGGATGCTGGGAAGACATCAGATCGGGCTTGGTGTGTTGTAGCTGAAAATAAATCATGAGTTGAGTGAAAGACATTCTACAACTTTCAATCTATACTTTACATTCAAAAGAATGATTCAAGCTACTTTAAAATTTTCAACTTCAAGTTGATTGAACAAAGTCTTTTTTCAGTACAAATATCTGCTACACCAGTAAGGGGATAGTTGTTAACTTATTTTGACAAAGAAGCCAGGCAAAAATGCTCATGTGAATATTTGTTCTTTCAAGCAAATGAATATAAATGAAATCTTTAACTGTGGCTATCAACTTTTTTATCTATACTTGACATGTAAACACATCTTACCATGAGTTGACAATTGGTTGAGCTGAGTCTGAGTTTAGCATTGTAGACAACACATCGCTCAGAGGAATGGACAGGTTTCCCGTAAATATCAAAATCTGTCCACTTCAGTGGGCCAGCTGTGGGCACGCCCAGAGACACAGGCTCCTTTATGAAGATACGTTCATACTGAGTGTAAATATCCCTCAGTGTTTGGAGATTCATTGACGTCAGCTGATTCAACATATCCCTCAGCTGAGTCTCGTTCAGGGCCGATGTCACGCTTCCACGATTCATCGCAATGTAGGGCTGCTCTAACGAAAAGCTCTCCCGTTTGGATCGCTTCCTTGGTAATGGTTTTGGTCGACTGAGCGTGCTGCATTGGGAGGAAGGTTCTGACCCTGAGGACATGCCCGTCTGTGAAGGCGAAGCCAGGGGAAAGTCCATGGAAATCAAAGATTCACTCATATCCACAGTAAGACTATCAGTCATGAACTTATGCATGTCTTTTGACAAACTATCATTGACTGATTTCTGGAGATCTACAGAACTCTGTGATTCTTTAGCAGGATCTTTCCCATACCCATTGATCTCTTCATAAATTGGTTGTGAAGCTAGAATTCTTTCTCTCTCTGATTGGATCTCAGGGTCTGCTGAACTCTTTTGTACATTATCAGGGTCTGCTGAGCTCTTTTGTACATTATCAACATTGACCTCCTGATGTACTGATGTTTCCATGGAAACCTTGACCTCATCAGAAACAATCTGTTCATTGGTTGACAAGGTCATTACTGATTGCTGATTGGTCGGTTGGTTATTGGTTGCTGTGGTTACCGTGGACTGCTGTGTTACTGCTGGATCATTAGCTGCTGTTGACCGGTGAGTGACAGGTTCGAGGTATCCTTCACTTGGTGATTTCGGAACCGACAGGGCAGTGTTAAGAGGAGCTATCAGATCACCATCAGCCTGCGGTCCTGACGGAGGAGGGGGAGGAGGCTCCTTAGGGATAATTGGTTCATATACGTTTTCTAGGGAACCAAGAGGAGAGAACTCTGGCCATTCATCGTACTTTTCTGCTGTTGATCCGGAGGATGTTGATTCTCCTGAAACACGACACAATAAGTAGAACTCAAAGCAACCACACACCATAGAAATTGTTTTCACATTACAGCTGAACTACAATATCTCAAACATATGGAATATTTCAAAATGAGATGACAGGTCTGTGCTTTTTTCACAAATTCAGCTTGACTTTCAAATTGATATCTTCAAAGACAAACAATAGTTATCTCAGTCCCACCATCTTTGAGATATCAAGGTCTGACTGTGTGAATTCTAACCTTGATATCCCAAACCCTCTGATATCTCAATCTTTTTTAACAGTCCTATCATATTTGAGATATCAAGACTTGACTGTAAATGTTGACAAAAAATCTCAATAAAAAATTTTCAACAGCATGTACTCTAAATTCTTACATATATAATCAATTTTTGATGTCTGTTTTACTGTTAGTATATATACATAAGATCATGTGACAATTGCCATTAACAGCAAAGTTGTTGATGAGTGAATGTGGTAAGTGGCATTAAAGGCAAAGCTGGTTATCAAAATTATCATTTACATCAGTATATTTTGCTGACATGTAAAATACTTTATATTAGATAGCTATAAATATTTAATTTTATCTCTTATGCTTTCTACATTCAGTATACCGGTACAAGTCTAGAGTGAGACTTACCCGACACCATAGAGGGGTCCTCTCCTACAGAAATAGTGTTCCTCCGATTCAAAGTTGATCCACCTGTCATGGAGGTTATTAACTGGAATTAAAAAAAAAGAAAACACTGATCATACAATACACATAAATTACCCTCAATCTGTAACATTGATGTCATAGGAATACATAGAGAATAATACATGGCAAAATCTGTATCACACCCCATATCAACCCGAGACTCCAATATCAGCCCGAGGGCCGAAGGCCAGAGGGCTGATATTGGTCGAGGGTTGATATGGGGTGTGATACAGATTTTGTCATGTATTGTTGTTTTTATTATATATTTGAAAATAGTGTCAAAAAAATCATATATAAACCTGTAAATTAATTAATTCTTAATAATTGAATCTGTTCTTTTTTTTTTTTTTTGTTGAATTTCCTTTCTCATTATTTTTTTCCAAAGGCAATGCATACAGCGATAAGAAATGAAATAATTATTAATTAAACAAATAATTATTTTGAATAGCATAAAATATCTGATGAAAATTTACAATTTAAATAAACTTTATAAACAATTAATAGAAAAAGATCCGAGGTACTCCGAATGAAAAATACAGAGATGTTCCGGAAAGGTGTAATAAAGGGTGTGATAAAGGGTAAAATAAAGGGTGCTGATACAGGGTGTGTAATACAGGGCGCGTGCCTGTGTTCATATCAGGGATGCAAAAATCCTGTATTATTGAACAAATATATAATAAAAAAAATTATCTACTTACAAGATTACAATAATACGTAGAAATATTTGACATTATTGTTATAAAATCTGAGTCAAACACTAAAATTGTGTGCTACATGTATTTGTGATTTCATTTAGCTAGCTTTCTTATCTTAACATTCCTTTGTGTCCTAATTCAAATTATTCATATTAGGAATACTTCCTGACCATTTTTGTGTTAAAATTTGAATGCTAAAAGTAGTGAAGAGCTTAGATTTCATTTGTTAATAAGATGGTAATCCTGTAATAGGAATGTAGCATATGACCTATGACACTGATCACATGACAGTCACATGACACATACCACAGGTCCTGAGATGTCGGAGGGGTCAATCTTCTTAGCGTGTAACTCGCCTCCACTCTCGGTGATAGATTTGGTCCGTTTCACTGAGGATGGTCGGGGTGGGGCTCGGGATTTCTTATTGCCGAGTTTCCCCAGGAAGCTTTTACGACTGGCGGCCTTTGGTAACTCAATCTTCTCTGCAGCCACTGGTTCAGGTTCTTCTTTCTCCTCCTTCGGTTCTGAAGTGGAAACCCCAAATTACAAACATTCACAATATAAACTTTAAAATCTTTGCCGAGCACCGATGTTCTTAAAACTGATATCAAAATTTCAGACTGAATTCTAAACCTATATTTACTGCATACTAATACTGTATCTGATCACGAACATCAGAATACATTATGAAAATTCTACTCAGCGATGACCTGGTTTATTTATGGATCAATCATGAGATGCAAAAATGATAAATTTACAAGAGGCATTTGGAAAGTTCTGAGAGTTGTTTGATAAATGTGAAATACTCCCTCTAAAATTACATATCTTTCATCATTTTAAATGTTTAATATCTTTTATAATATTGATTGTTTCTCAATCAAATCCTACCTGCTGATGGTTGATTGGTCTGTCCACCAGATGGAGCTACTGAGACCTCTGATTTGACAGTTGTAGTGGGTGGGTGAGGTGCTGACTTTTTCATCTCCACATTCGGTTTCTGACCAGCAGCAGGTGGCGCCACATTTCCTTTCTGACCTGCTGGTGGTGGAGTGACCTTGGAGTCCAGACTTTTACTGAGCCTCATTTCCAGTTCCTTTGTAAACAAGGCATTCTTATTCTCCATCGTCTTCCCGGGCACGGCCGGCTTCTGAGGGGCTGAAACTCGCTTGGGACTCTTTGCTCGTCTTCTCACCACTTGGGGTTCAGTGTCTTTCTTTGGACTATCCTCTTTAGACAGAGCCCTCGTGATCTCTCTCTCCAGACTCCCTTTATCTGGTCTCTCTAAGCTCCCTGTTGTACTTTCTGTGTCTGACCCCTTTCTATCCTTACCCCCTGTGGATCCTTTTCTTTCTGAGGCAGGGGAGGAGGAACGTCCCTCCCTTGTCCCATGCTGGGGGGAGACGGTCGGTCGTTTTGGGTTTGGTGGGGGTTTTGGTCTTGTTGGTATAGATGGTTTTACAGTGGGAACACTTTCACTTTTACTTTCATTTTCTTCCACAATCATGCTGCTTGTCATACTTTCACTTTCCGTTGTCTCCTCTGTTTTATTTCCCTGTGGTCCATTAAACAGAGCTGATGTCTCCGTAGCTGACATTATGATGCTTGTGCGGGATTTCCTACAGGACACGGCAGGGAGAACTTTGGCCTTGACCTGTGGTGACTTCCTCTCTTCTTTGGCTTCAGGTGAGGGTTCCTTGCTTTTTTCGGGTGAGGACGTGACTGGAGTTATTGGTACAGTGACTCTGGGAGGACTAGAAGCCTCGTTGATTTGCTCTGTGGAATTCTCAGGTGAATCTTTCCCTCTGCGTAGAATACTGCGAAAAAATGAGGTGATCCCTTTTTTCCCTTTGCTATTATCACTCTTATTTCTGTTGTCCATTAAGTCATCATGAAAGTCGCCTGTGCGTTTGGGTGATAGGAATTTCTCCTGACTATTGCCTGTGATGGATTTTCCTATTGGCACCATTTTAAAATTTGGTTCAGAGAAGTTGTGCGAATGTGATGGAGATGTTTTTTTAGAGGACTGGTCACTGTTTAGACTTGAGCTATTTCTGGAAGTGGGTTGAGGGGGAGGGGCTACTGGAGGCCGGGGAGCAGGGCGCTTCTTCTTTCTGATATCTGTGGCTAGTGACACGATCTTTGCCTCTAACTCTTTTGACTTTATACTGCCCTTGGGAATTCTCAAACTCTCCAGAATTTTTTCACTGTTGTCTGGTATATCATTCATATCAGAATCTGGCAAAAACTCATTGTCATCAAATCCTTTGATCGAGACATTGTCACTATATCGTGCTAATATGGCATTTAAATGGTCAACTAATGCCATGCCGGCTGACGAAGAATCGAAATCAATTTCTGTGGAAAAATTCTCAAATAAACTCTCTGCATCAAATTTGTCCATTTCGAATACATCTTCTTCTCCATTTTTCATTTCATCACTCTGTCCATTAAACTGCGTGATATTTACGTCCATGTAGGGCTGCGTCCCTCCCTGTTCTACGACATGACCCTCCATCTCTGAGGCGGACCGACTCCTCCGCTTTTCGAACAGTGAGAAATTTGTTTCGTAATGAGTTCCCTCTTTTTCCTCCTCTATCTTTTTAAGATCACAATCAGAAGAGGATCTTTCCAGTTTCCCATCGCGATCGAACATTTGTTCTAAGCTTGACTTCGAGCCTAGTGGTCTCCTAAGAGGAAATGTCCCAAACCTCTGGGATAATAATTTATCACAGTCACGTAGCGTCGAAAACCTGTCTTTTTTCCACAGTGAGGACAGCTTAACATCCTCAAATTCATAACTCTTATCATCGTCAATTGTTTTGTTTTTAGCACCATTAAGATTATTCAGATCGGAATTCCAGATTGTATTATGTAAAGCTTGAAGCACAAATTCACGCTCCTCCTCCGTGAATGAAATATCCTCCCCAGAATCCTCTTCTAAAGGAAGTTCCTCATTGTCTAAAAATAGATTGTCGTACCCCCCATCCTCACCGATCACAGAAGGTTCTCGCTCCAGAAACTTGATATCAAAAGTCTTCCTGCGTATTTCACCATTTTTGACTAGAATACTCCGTACATTATTTATGGTCACCTTCGAGTATGAAATCAGCGGCTTTTGTAGTTTTTCTTTTTCCACAGATAAACTCCGAGAAGTCCGTGGTTTACGCTGGTCTGCATTTCCTTCATTCCGACCCTCTAACTCCGAAAGAATCAAGGAAGCGTTGCGTTTCGCCTGATGTATGACATCATCAGCAATGATAGATGTCCGTTTTGTTGGGATAGGTGAACTCGTAGACTCAGGGTTGAAATCTCCCACAATGCTGTGCTCTGCTCTGGGTCGTTGACAGTTCTTGCAGAGATCTTTTTTCCAGGCATTCTGAGTAAATTCAGAGCAGGCGGTGGACATTACGCTTTGAGTAACCATGGAGATGGGTCATGACCTAAAAATATATAAATTAATCTATACAAGTGTATTTAATTGGTGCTTAATTCATAGGACAAAATAATTTACGGTGACTTAGTAGTTTTGAAATATGGAACCTAATGCAATGCTATCATTTAGAGAAAATGGTCACACAAATAATTTACAAAAATGCTGAATTATGTAGTCATGATAATAAATAGAGACTTGTAACACTTTATCTTTTTTTCCTTGGTTTGTATGTATTTTAGTGACATTTGTGTCAGACTACTGTACAAATTAGTCTACATGTCATAGGTGTTTTATGATCTCTGTCTAAATATGATTTCACTATCAATTTACACACATGCAAATTCATGGTTACACTTACAATACTATATATACACAAGACCTACTCTGTGCTAAAATAAAATACAAAATTTTAATGCAGATTTCAACCAGCCACTGGTCTTTTCACAGAAGAGTTTCTCTTATATTTTGGTGATTTCCTTAAATCCCAGCTGAATATTTTCTCTCACGATTAACCATTTTGATACAAGTCCCTCCTATGAAGCACAGGTTAATATGCCTTGCATCAAACATAAACAAAGCCTCAGTGTGTTGGTGCATCACCTGTTTCAGATTGTACAGAATGTTATGTATGTGAAGATTTACACAGAAATATTAACACTGACTTGTCAAACATCACACCTCAATCAACCTCTCCCTGTCTGGCTCTCAGTCTGAATTCCTAAGCTACTGTCTGATCACACTTAGTCTTAGACAACCATTAACTATTCACAATTAAGCTCTCCCTGTCTGGCTCTCAGTCGGCCTTCCTGAGCTACTGTATGATCACACTTAGTCTAAGACAACCATTAACTATTCACAAGGTTCTTACACCTCCATAATATATCAACCTAAGTCTTCACCATCACTCAAAGCAGACAATCTGACACCAAATAAAAAATAAGCCTCATTGGTTTGGATCATAACAACTGTAAAACTTGCTTATTTTGGTGTTCATAGCATTACAGTGAAGTAAATTTATTGGTCCCCAAATATTTCTTTTCACTTCATAAGATTTTGCAATGAAGATGCTGTCTATAAATCTGTCAAAGAACTATATGCTGTAAAGAATATTTTTTGCCCCTATAAAAGCCATATTTTGAAAATCTCTAGAAATGTACACAATTGTATATACTGTATGAAAAATCTTAATTGACAAAAATTATCATATTTTTAAGTAGATTATCAGCAATCCTTTTTTTCTGTGAAATCACAAACTATTAGGATTTTCCGTTATTTTCAAGAGAGATGACAAAATGGACAAAATTTGTTCAATTTTGAGTATAGAATATACTGAGCACAAACTTGCCCCAGAACAATATTCACACATTTCATTGGTATTATAATTCTATGCATTAATATCAAAAGATTTAGCTGGTGCAGACCTGTGTTTGATGACTTATAATCAAAATATTGATGCTAATATTAAATTTTTCTCTCAAATTCATTGAAATTTTGAATTTATGTCATATATTCTTGATGTCATATCTGACATATGACATTATGGCTGATGAAAATAGGTAAATAAATGCTTACAAGCCTGTGAATACCCACCTGGTTTAGAACATAATTATAGATTTGGAGGGTAAATATTGGTCTTAAGAGAAAATAGTCCTTTTAAGGATCCTTATAGCAAAACAGTAGCACAAAATATTTAGCAAAACAGTATACCAGCACAACAATATATATAGCAGTTAAAACACAGCAATAGCAAAAGCAGGGGCATGGCTATGGGAAAAAGACCTGCAGACATAATGCTATAAGAGGGTCTGGGGGGCATCTTAGGCCCCAGGCAGGTCCAGGGCAGAGCCATGGTGTGTGTGTGTGTGGGGGGGGGGGGGCTAAGATTTTAGAGAAACCTGAAAGATATCTCTGTTGATCATTAAAGAGTTGAAAGTTATTAAGTCAAGTGTTCTAATGACAATAATATAATAACATAACCCCCCCTCTAGGTTACTTAATGTAAAAAGTTCATCTTCAATAATAGCATGACTAAAATTTTGCCCTGCTGTGGTGCAATAAATTTGTTTTGGATTTGAATTTCATTTTTTATCTTTGTCTTATCATGCTTCTGTAAGGAATTGCTACTATTACTGATTTTTTGTGAGCTTCAGTGTACGTACGTGCCAATCTTCCTAATCAGGGGCTGGGGGTGACAGCTAGGGAATTTCTGTCAAAAGAATCACTCACCTGAGTCCCCTTACAATGGTGTGTTAATATAAAGTTTGCTACAATTTCTTTGTTCTAACATCAATCAAAAACATCTGTTTAGAGTCTTATAAAAAGCCATGATTCTAGTAATCAGTTGACACACTCATACCAAAAATACCGTACAATTTATCTTTAGATTCACTTCAAGATAATTTATATAGAGAACATTCTTAGATGAAGAAATACATTAGAGTTACAACAATTTACACTTATGATTTGAAAAGCAATGTCATAAGCACTTTGAAACAGTTGTTCAGCATTCTAAAATCTTGTTCACCGTGTACATGTTCACTGTTTTGTTTTGAATATTGTTGAACTTCACTTCTTCCAGAAAAAAAAAAAAAATTAATTTTTCCCTAGATTCATACTTTGGTACTTTTGGCTCCATTGTAAATTAACAAATGCACTAAATTCATTCATGACTTAAATAATATCATGATCATGATGATACATTTATTACCAGAATATGATTTGATATCAACAATTTACTTAATAAAATACTAAAGTGTTATTTATCATCAAAGATTTTATAACATAGGCAAATGTTGATCATGCCAAATAAAATACAGTATAATTCTGCTTCAGAACATTATAATACCTGATGACTGAACATCAGTGTGACTCCCTTATTTTACTATGGACATTTCTGGTGATAAAAATCAATTGATTTCATCCCAGTATAACAAGAAGAGCCTGTCAGGAATAAATGGTTTGTTTTTATTTCATAACTCATGAGCTCCAACTGATTTTACCCTTACAACCTCCATCAATTTATTGATCAATTCTTTGTGTGATGAACAAAGATTAAATGATGTTACATAATAACCACACATAGGATCCAATAACAGAAAGATTGAACAATTTACTGGAATAATATATAATCTGCATTAATCTACCCCCCCCCCCCCTCCCTACTGACAGGTAACATTTTTTTTTTCCCTTGCAGCTATGTGTACATGTTTGTCATTATTAATCTAAAAAAGATATCCATCTTGGGTGCAACAGTAAAGTAATGAAGCAGGTGTGGAGTTTCCCACTTCATTAAAGCTGAACTGACAAGTGTGAGGTTTGATTGTAATTGAGAGAGAGAGAGAGAGAGAGGAAGCTGTCTGCACTGCTAACTGATTCTCCCTATTATACATTGCACTATCAATGTGAGTCATTTGGCTTGTTAGGAAGTTACTCTGTAATTGACCAATTTCTGTTATCTGATAACATATAGAGAGAAAAAAGAAATCAAAACCTGACATGTGTTAAACCTAGGATTTATCAATAGTAAACTTCATCTAACATCTTATAAATCAATATTTATAGCTATAGGTACCAGAATCTGTGCCTTATTTCACTTTACACAGGTTTAATTAGAACTCAAGAACAAGTGGACAATTAGGTAAAGACTGAATCCCCATATATATCATCTCTCTACATCACACAGGATCAGCTCTGAGGAATATTACAGACCTGTAAAGTAAACTACAACTCCAACTGTCTGAAGCATGTGTAGGATCAGTGTTTGTAAACATAAACCAAGGTCAGAGAATAGAGGTAGGTTCTCACAAATAACTGTCATACAGCCTCAAATCAATGGGGACTTCTGACACATCTGCCATAAGGAAAACTCCCAAATGTATAAATGTCTTAGATTTGATATAACAGTTATAGAGTTCATCTGTACTAAGAAAACCAGCGATACATTGAAAAGCAATTAATTATACACTCTCAACAGAATATTAACTGATTTACAAGTGCTCCTGAACAGAGAGAGCTGTGCATGCAAACATTTACATGAGGCTAAAAGACTCGGGGCTGATTCAGAGAAAATTTCACCAGGAATTAATTGTATGTTATTAAAAGAACAACATATTGTGATATTATACACACATATATGTATTACTATCAAAAGGTATACCCACCATTATCATTAAAATATTCCTCCTGTAAAAATCAGACAGTGCATGCCTCCATCTTTAATTATATTGATCCTGAATCACCAATATTTTCCCCAATGTTTTCACACACACACTCACACAGAGCCAGAGGCAGAGTGATGCATGATGGGAAATTATTGGAGAAATTCTGCAATTCTTGCGTGTTCAGGGAAAGTTAAACTATCCGATTGCATAATATGTGTTACAGTCACAGAGAGAGAGAGAGAGAGATTGGAGTGTGGAAGAGAGAGAAAGAGAGTGAGAGAATGAAAGGGGTGAGATATTAATTAATTACAGACTAGTGGGTAGTATATAGCTATATATAAGTGTCAATTTTTAAAGAGATTACATAGGAATCTCTGTCACTATGTATGAAACATTGAGTCAAAGGATATAAAATATAAAATTATTAACAGGAACCTAGAGAAGTAACCACCAAAGAAATAAAATTAAAGGAATTAATTAAAGATATGTAATGATTACACACCCTGGTAACTAATGATTGTACATGTAGTATACTGCGATAAGGGAGGTAACTCTAAATGGACCAACATTTAATGACAAATTAATATATATACATGTATCTACTAACAATTAAAATTAGAAGGATTTATATATTTCTCAAATTATGTTACATTGATCTATTTGGAATAATTTCAATTGAAATATATGGACAAGATTTCTCATTATTCAAGCCTTAATATCTTACATAACTTTGTTGTCTAATATATGATAAAATAAACATCAGCTCTGTAGTTCTATCAATCAAGTCTTTAAAAAAAAAAAATAGCAATATTTTTTTATGAAATCATTGACAATTTTTTTTTTTTTTTGTAATGTTTTAAA